CGGCCGCCGCTTCGCTACGGTCGCCGCGAGCGAAGCGAGCACGACCGCAGCGAAGCACGGCCATCGTGTAGCGAAAAAAATTTTCGCTATGCTCGCTTCGCTCGCGGCGACCGTAGCGAAGCGGCGGCCGTCGTTCCGCTCGACATGCCCGGCCTACCCTCCGTAGCAGCAAAAACTTTTTTCCGCGAAGATTCTGTTAGTCATAGGCTAGAAGCAGGGTTCTTCTAATTTTTTCAAAATAAAAAAAATTTTTTAAAGTTTTTTTCCTCCATATCCACCAATATCCCCTTGTTGATGTCTCGATGTCATGCACAAGTCCCTATATATTCACTGTACCCCTCAAAACCTTTTCTTATTGTTTATTATTAGGGCTGGGAAAAACATGCAAATGCATGTTTTGCATGCGGATATGCCTTGATGAGAGAAGCCCAAAAATGGTATTTTTACATTGGTCCGAGCACTTTGGGACCCGGTTCTTAATGCATATTTTTGCATATTTCGGCCCTCTCGTGCATATTTGCATATCTGTGCATATTTTGGGGAATTTTGCATATTTTTACCAAAATTTGAGCATATTTTGGCATTTTTTTCTAAGTTTTATAAAAATTGGTCAAAATTTGAAAATTTTTTGTCAAAAAAATTTTTATAAAAATTTTTGAAAAAAATTTTTCTCAAAATTTTTGAGAAAAAATTTTTTCAAAAATTTCTTTGCTAAAATTTAAAGTCCATAAAATCTTATATGTAGAAATGATCTTAAATTTAAATTTTAAAGGCCAAAATAGTGTTTTCTAGATAAAAATTGATTTTTAATTTAAATTTTCGCCATTTTTTGCTGCATATTTAGTGCATATTTTGACAAATTTTGCATATTTTGGTGCATATTTTAGGGGTTTTCGGTGCATATATATGCGCATATTTGGCGATTTTGCGTGCATATTTTTCCCAGCCCTATTTATTATATTAAAAAGAAATTGGGCACGGAAACGTGTTTTTTATAACGGGCACGGAAACGTGTGCACGGAATCGTGCCTGCACGGAATCGTGTGCACGGAAACGTGTGCACGGAATCGTGTGCACGGAAACGTGTGCACGGAATCGTGTGCACGGAAACGTGTGCACGGAATCGTGTGCACGGAATCATACCCCACCGGAAAACCCCGTTTATAAAAATTAAGGTATATAAAATTGGAGGTAACATTTAGGTCTAATTACACTCAAACCTCGTTCTAACCCCTTGGAGCTGAAAAATCTATAAAACCTCGTATGAGGCTTATCTTTGAAAGAGAGGTCGCTTAAACAGCTCCCCATAGCCACTGGCCAAACAAACTTTTAAAAAGCTCTATAAAATAGAGTGTGTATCTAATATTGGAGGGGGGTATAAACGAAGTCCTACTTTATTCTAAAAAAATTTAAAATTATTTTCCCAAATTTTTTTTTCTTATTTTTTTGTCACGATCATCTGCAATTTAATATTTAAAAATGAAGAACAATTCTCCCTGTCTTCTTTATTTCGTTCGCGAAAAGCTTTTTCTCTTTTATTTATTTTAGCGTCTTAATTCAAATAATTTATATATTTATTATTGCTTCTCTTATTTTCTATTGGCCATTTATTTGTGAAAATATCCATCAAACACTTGAAATGATTAGTTTAAAAATAGTTTGCGCAGATCGAATTTAAGAGAAAAAATTATTTTGATGCTTATTAGTCAAACCTCAAGACCCTCTTAGGTGTTGAAAAATAGTCTCTTATAGCGAAGTTCTTAGACTAGAGGTTTAGTTAGTTCTTCTTCTAACGATTCTTCCAAGTTCTTTCCAAAATGAGACGTATATAAAATTGGAGGTACCAATTTGGTTTAGTTGCCTCCGACTCCGTTTTACACCCCCATTGAAGCTGAAAAACCTCGTTAAAACTAGGGTTGAGCGGGATCGGGATCCCGGTCGGGATCGGGCGGGATTATCCCGGGTTTTTCAAATCCCGATCCCGATTTTTCTGATCCCTCTCCCGAAATAAATATCCCGATCCCGATCCCGGCCAATTTCAATCCCGAGCCGGGATCCGGGATCGGGATCGGGATGTGCATCAGATCCCGAAGCAAATCCCGACTTTATAAATTGACTAGAAGTTTGTGAAATAAAGTTAACAGAAGAGGGGAGGCGTGAAAGTAAGAAAAATTTTCGCCTGCGGCGCAGAAAAAGGAAGAAATTTGGCTTCTTGAAATTCAAAATTCTCAAAATTTTCGCCTGCGGCGCAGAAAAGGGAGTAACTAAGGCATTATAGAGATGCCTTAATCACTGTCTTTAAAACTTTAACAAATATTGAGCGATTTGGTGTGATATCGAGCGATCAAGAGGGGCTAAGTGGAGTATCGGTGGATTTGGATATAGAAGGATATCGGTGAATTTACAGTGATTAAGTTAGATTTGAGGAAAAATCGAGGGCTTTAGAGATATTACTACATGAATATATCACTTAATCCCTCAATCTCAGTAATTGAGGGCCTTCAAAATAGAATTTTGGAAGGCCCTTGGCCTTCCAAAATAAAAAAATATTTCCTTCGGTGCTTAAAAGGCAGGAAATCTGGCACCTTGGCCTTCCAAATTTTTCAAAATTTTTGCCTGCGGCGCTTAAAATGGAAGAAGCCCAATCCCATACCCCCTCCCCATTACCTTATCCTCAGTTAATCCCCTGAACCGGAAAGTAAATCATGCGTCTATGAGACTTAACTCACTATTTCAGCACCGCAGTGGAAATTTTAGAATTATATTGAGTCATATGTGAAGAAAATAAAAATATAAAAGTTTTTAAAAATTTTTTAAGTAAATCCCGATCCCGATTTTTCAATCCCGGTCCCGATTCGGGATCGGGATCGAGATCGGGATCTTCATTCCAAATCCCGATCCCGATTTCGGCTAATCCCGATCCCGTGTCGGGATCCGGGATCGGGATCGGGACCACCATTCCAAAATCCCGATCCCGGGTTTTTCTCTAAATCCCGATACCGCTTAACTCTAGTTAAAACCTCGTATGAGGTTTATCAAAGAAATAAAGAACGCCCCTTAAATAGAGGTGTATCTAATATTTCGGGTATCTCATAGGGAGGTTATCTTATAATGAGGTGTATCTTAGATAGAGGGTATCGTTTAGACAACTCCCCCCCCCCCCCCACCTCTTTATCCCAGTTATTAACCAACCTTTAAATAAGTGAGACTGAATTTAATATTTTTTTTTAATTTTTAGCTTAAGAAATCTAAATTGTTATAGTTTTATAGAGAAAATAAAAAAAAAACAAATTGGCATCAATTTTCTCAGTTTTCTCAGCAATAAAAAATCAACTTATTCACTATAAATATTTTTTTATAATTTTTCACAATATCTTTAAAGTAAAAAATTAAAAAAAATTTTTTTAATGTTTTATGCCGTAAATTCAGAAAGACACCCTGTTGGGCTCTAAATTCCAAAATTTTTGGATATCCCGACTTTTTCCGGTTTTGGATTTTCGAATCCTCAACCCTGAACCCCCTAGTTGCCAACCTGACCCCCCTAGAACCCCCTAGTTGAATCCCCATAGTCTTTTGGTACATTTCTTTGTCTCAAGCCCTAAAAAAATTTTTGATCCTGGACATCTATGTATATTATAATTATTTTATTTTCATTTTACACTAAATTGAATATTAGTTTTGTTCATTTTTGTTTAAATAATTTTTTTTCTTCTATATTATTTTTATTATTTCTTCAATTTGTTTTTCCCCAAAATTTAATCCCCCCCCCCCTTCTCCCTATTATTTCTATTGTCAAAAAAATTGGTTTGTCAATTTTTCTCTCTCGTAATGGCTAATCTCTCCCTTTCATTTTTAACCACAAAATGCTTTGCACTGTCCATCATTTTACTGACCGATTGCCATAAATGGTAGTTTTACTAGATAGTTTTGTTTGGGGGTAGGGCAAAGCACCGTCCGACAAAATACCGTTTAAATATTAAATTAGGAATGCCGTCCAGTTTTATTGACAATAAATTTGATTTGTGTCGATATTACCGTATTACCTCTATCTGAATGCCACTGTAGGATGATTGAAAAATAGAATGCCCCCTCCAATTGAATGCTCCTCCTTTAATTAAATCCCCCCCTAATATTATGCCTCTTTGGAAGGTGATTAAAAATAGAATGGCCGGGCATTCGATTACAAGTAATATGGTATGCTTCTTTAAATTTTTAAACCCTGAGGCTATTAGGCCATGTTTAGTACTATATACTCCTTTGCCTAAAAATTTTATTCTAAAATATTCCTCAAAGTGTAATAGGCAGTTTTTCCCAATGTGTGGACGGCGTTTAGTCGGACGGCGTATTTAACGTGTTTTGTTTAATCCTTTCTCAAACAATTTTTTATTTTTTGATTTTCAAACTATTTTTTAAAAATAAATTTAAAAATTTAATATTTTTAATTATTCAGAATTTAAAAAATTATTTTAAATGATGCTAAATTTTGAATTTTATAATAATGAATGAACTAAGGGAAAGCAAAACTCTTCCTTTTAGAGGTTAATCCGTTTAATTAAATTACTTTTAACTGCTAATTTTGTTAAAATAATTTTTATTATAAACGAGATCTTTGATCGAGATCTCGTCTCGGTCCGATCTTTACTCATGACTATACCTCAGTTCTTTCCTAAAATTCGTATTCTACTTTGTACTTACCTACATATTACTATATCGAATACGAAGCAAAATTTAAATTTCAGGTACTACTCAAAGAGCTCATCCATCCGAGCTCATTACTAACAGAAACTCATTTCTAAAACCCTCACATACTTAACGAGATCATTGGAAAAGTATTTACGGATTAGATAGGATCTGCCCAAACCGATAAGTATACAGGTATACCGATAAGTACTGCTCAAACAGGGTTGACGGGTCCGGATATCGGAAAAATTCAGTTTGGATATCGGATCCAGGATACACCAACCCTATGTCAAGAAACAGTTCTAGATAAACTAAAATATAATTTTGATTATTATAGATACTTTAATGTGCCAATCATTTACTTCTGTGCCAAAAACTTATATCAGAGCAGCCGACGAATTACTTCCTCTTTCACATGCCAGTCGTCTAGCTAGTCTTCCCAGCCTTTCCCCTCTTCCATTTTCTCATCGCCACCCTTCCCTAGCATTAACAACCGGTGCCGGTTCAGCTTCACATCCTTCTCGATTTTCGCCTTTAGAACCTCAACGGCCTCCTAGAGCCATTCCCCAGTCCTTAACAAAATCGTTGCCTAAAAGACAAGGAAGGATGACGACAGAAAGTTTTTCTAGAAATTTTTTAAAAAATTTCAAAAAATTTTTCAAGAAAATTTGGACGAATTAGCCCCCCTCGGCAATGAATGGGAAAAATCACAGCCTGGAACTGGAATTTGTGGAAAATGTGTTCTTTGTTTATTACTTAATGCGGTGTTTGTTTTGGCCCTTTTTCTTGCTTTTCTGATTGGACATTTTGCGTCTGAAGCACATTTACCTTTAAATAATAAAGTAAAAAATTTAAAAAATTTTGAGCTTTTGGTTGATTTAATAAAAAATTAACAAAAAATGCTTATTTTTTTAATTTATAAGACTGACAACTTAACTTTAAATAATTTATTACTAACCTCTAATAATGCGACAATTGGTAAACTTAATCAGACAGCTTCGACTTTACAAAATCAGACGGAAATGAAACAAAAGGATTTAGAATTTGTGAAGGTAGAATTTGCTTTGAATACATTCGGACCTCCGTATAAGGTACCCTCCTGGGCTGGAAATAGTCTCTTATAACGAGGTGTAATTTATAGAGGGTATCACTTATAGTCTATTACTATGAGGTGTATCTTTATCAGGTCATCATTTAAGTCTCTTATAATCAAGTATCTCTTAAATAGAGTACATTAAAATGAGAGTTAGTGGTAGAAAAGCTCTTGACGTTGTGTTGAATTTGGGGGAGTGAACGAATAAGAGAATCGAATGTCTAAATGAGGTGTTCCTTAACTAAAGGCATTTCTATGGAAGCTCCTCCACCTAGGAAGCCTACCAAAAATTTAAAAAAACGTCTCTAAAATAGAGAGTGTATCTATTATTGGTTGTATCTTATAAGGAGGTCTGACTGTTATTTTTATTATAAATGCTTATTTTAACACTCTAACACTTAACAATAACTTCTTCAAACCTTCTAATAAATTCCCTTTTAAAGAATATTGAAAGAACAAGACAAACAATTAAAGATGTTTATCCCCCACAACTTTACGATTCTGAAAGTTTTTTTGATTCTCAAAGTGACCAAGATTTTGCATTATTATCTCCTTTTAACAACGATGTTCACCATTCCACTACAAAATTAATTTCTCGTTCGGATTACCCGTTAGTTCCTCTTCCAAGAATTGCTTTACCTAGGCATTACAATGTTGATGTATGTAAATTTTAAAAAGATTTTTTTAATTTTTAAAGAGTAAAGCGTTGCTTCTGGGGGCAATAGCGGTGTTCCTTTTTCCTTTCAAAAACAAGACCATAACTTGGCGTGGGTTAAACATCTAAAAGGATAAAAGAGAAAGCATTGGTCGATGCCCCGGTAGATCAGTGGTAAAGCTCCTATATATCTGGTGAGCTAAAGTCCTAACAATAACTTCAAGGAGGTCGCAGGCCAAATTGAATTTGGGATCCTGCCCGGTGGCTAAACTTTTGCCAAACTCATACTCCTTCTAAACCCATCAGATAAACAACGCTTCTACTCTTTACAAGTGTTCCTATTTATTTTTAAAAATTCTTTTTCTAGTTAGATTTAACAGAATTTTATGGCGTAGTTGATTGGCCTAGAATACGTGGAAATCTTTCAATTTTATTAGAAGCTTTTGGCAATGCAACAGATGACGAACTTTTATTTAACGCTGGGACTAATATTTTTATTCAACGGATTCGTCTTTATCGCCAAACTGAGTTTGGAAAAGTTGTGGTTGAAATTAAGTCTGTTAAGAGGCATATAGAACGTGAATTTGTTCGTTTAATTTTGGGGGAAAGATTGAGTGTTGGATGGTAATTAAACTTTTTTTTTACTTTTAGTAAATGAATCTCTTGGGACAATTTACATACCAGGGGTGGCGCGAGTGCCACAAAATACGAGACACGAGATTTACGAGATACGAGATTCTCAAAAAAATACGAGAACGAGATAAAACGAGATACGAGATCTCTCAAAAAATACGAGATTTCACGAGATACGAGACCACGAGATATGAGATATTAAGTATTTTTTTCTAAATAATTCATACATAAAATTTTAGGCCGAAAATATAAGGGTTTGCATGGATAATGATCACAGCTGGATTATGAAGGATATTGGGGATTTAGAGGATCAAGGGGATTTATTGAGTTATTGGGGATTACGGAAAATATAATGGATTTGTAAAGATCAGAAGAGTTAAATGAACAGATGCCATGAGATTATTGAGGGTGACAATTTTTTCCGAGCGGGGTCAAAAATTTTGATTTTTAGCGCCGCAGGCGAAAATTTTGAGAATTTTAGAAGGCCGTAGGCAAAAAAATTCACTTTTTCAGCGCCGCAGGCAAAATTTTTTTTTAAATTTGGACCCCAAGAAGCCAGATTTCTTCCTTTTTTAGCGCCGCAGGCGAAAATTTGAGAAGTTTAGAAGACCATTGGACAAGATTTCTTCTTTTTTTTATAATTCTAGGATCCTAGAATAGTCCAAAATTTTTGACTTATTTCTAAAATTGATTGAAAATATCTCGTGTCTCGTGGCAAAATACGAGATACGAGACACGAGATACGAGACCTCAAAAAAACACGAGATTTCACGAGATACGAGACACGAGATACGAGACGAGAGCCACCCCTGTTACATACCATTTACACACCATTTTAGCAATATTTGCTTCTTTTAATCTGCTGATCTCATTATAATATACCCCTTGGGATTGAATGAAATCGTAAGGGTTACCTTAAATAGGAGGTATCGGGTTAATAGAGGGTATATTAAATATTTTTCATGTATATGATAATATATATGATAATATGTCCACTTAATGCGCAACAAAATTTTAAAGAACGGATCTTAAATATAGGTCTAATATTGTGTGTATTTTATACCGTCTGACTTCACTATAATATTGTATGCCCTAATGCTAATACTAAGATTTAAGATACGTTTTTGAAGTTGTGGTTAGCCACTAGGTTGGGAAAGGTGCCTAAGCGATAGCACACTTATAAATAACTTGGGTTTTGACATAAAGGATCAAGTTTGATTTTTAAGGTACTGGCTCTATATAGAATTCAATACTCGAATATGTCAATCAGAACTTGAAGGGACTCATTGCTTTCCAAGCCCATTGCTTTCATCAGATCCAAAGGAATCTCCCTCTTCCCTTCCCTCACGCCAATTAGCTACCGGATTTTCTACCAAATTTGAACCAAATTTTGCTCGGACCTTTTTCCCAGGCTGGGACGACCCTTCAATTCGTTCAACATTTAATTTATCTGTCCAACATTTTTCTGACACAAATATTTTATTCAACACACCACCCTTACCCAACAAACAAAATGTTTCTACAAATAATTTAATTAAATTGACACGTTTTGAAACAACTCCCCCAATGCCTCTATATTTATTTGCAATAGCTACTGGGCCTTTTAAACCTATACAAGTTGTGACAACAAAAACTAATTTGAGTTTAAATATTTGGAGTAATAATCAAGATTTATTAACTGCACATTTTGTGGCTAATTTTTCGCCCATTATGTTTGATAAATTACAAGAGGATTTTAATGTAGGGTTTTTAATTTTAAATTTAATTTTAAAATGAAATGTGAAATGGAAGCAAGTGTTGGTTTTGAAAAGAAAATGAAGGAAAAAATAAAGGAAAGAAATTAGAAAGAAAAAATGGAGTCGAGGTTGAAGGGGTGTTGTGGAGAGGGACGAACGTTGGTTGACCGCTTATAAAATAACTAAAAATCAACCAATAAATGTAAATTTGGTACTAATATTAACAAAAGGATTAACTAGCAACTCTAAAAATTTCGGAATTTTTAGTTCAGAATTTCAAAAGTTATAGGTAAAAATGCGTGAGGGGTTGAATAAACGCTATGGAGAGATGCGAACGTTGGTTGCTCGCTTATAAAATAGCGTAAAATCAACCTATAAATGTGAAATTTGGTAGTAATTTTCACAATAGGGTTATCTAACATCCCTAAAAATTTCAAAATTTTTGGTATAGAATTTCAAGAGTTATAGGAAAAAATGCGGGTAGGGTTGAAGGAACGTTATGGAGAGAGATGAACGTTGGTTAATCGCCTATAAAATAGCTAAAAATGATCCTAGAAATATAAAATTTGGTAGAAATATCCGTAATAGGATTGTCTAACATCCCTAAAAATTTCAGAATTTTTGGTGCAGAATTTCAAAAGTTATAGGTAGAAATGTCCTAATTTTCTTAAAAAACCCCTGTTCCTGAATCAGAATATGGGAAATACTCATCCAAAAATTCTGAAATTTTCAGAATAATTAGAGAACATTATCACAAATATTAGTTCAGAATTTGAGATTTTACTCTCTTATAGCGATTTATTTATGAATTTTCTCCCAAGCATTATTTAATTAATTTTAATATTTTAAAGGTAAAATATCCACTTTCAAAATTAGATATTTTTATAACACCAAAATATCCCGTTGGAGGAATGGAAAATTGGGGACTAATAATTCTTCATTCTGATAATGTACGTATTTCAAATAGTGACAGTAGTTTACCTATTAATGATGATTTTATTGACTCATCAAAGGAGGAGAAAATTAAAGAACAAAAAAATGTTCAAAGACAAAATTTGATAGAAATTGATAAATTAGCTGAAAAATATAAAATTGAAAAATTAATAACACACGAATTAATACATCAATGGTTTGGAAATTTAGGTGAAATTTTCTTTAAATACTATCCCCCTCACCTTTATTTGAGTTTCCTCATTAATGCAAATACGTTATATTTCCTTCTAAAAAGACGCATAATGGTCAGACTTACCTCTCCTTCTTTCGCCCATTTTCTTATGGCTCTTTTACGCCAAACTTCAAATCCTTAAAGGCCATAAAGAAATAACGAACTAGATGCCATAAACGAACTAGATGAGATTGAGGAAGAAATAAAGTCTGTCTATTATGTCTGACCATTATGCGTCTTTTGTGAAGGAAGATAAACGTGAAAAAACTAGAAATAACCTTGTTCTTTTGAAAAAGGAATGTAAATTTGAAACTCGAATAGGTAGATGTTGTTGGTAGAATACAGGAAAACCCCCTAATAAAATAATTTTTTAGTTTCAATCTGGAATTGGGAAGAACTTTGGCTCAGTGAAGGATTTACTTCATATTTTGTTTTTGATTTTTTAAATGCCCACAACCACCCACAATTAACAGAACACGAATATTACTTAAAATTAATAGAATTAATTAATCAGCAATCAACAGATGGAAGATCCTCTTTAATTAAATTAATTACAAATTCTAAACAATTGGATAGACTTTTTGATAGTATCCAGCTTTACACTAAAGGGGCTGTAGTTGTTAAAATGTTAAAGGATTTGGTTGGCCCTGAAGTTTTTAGAACGTCGATTGCTCGGTTTTTGAGGGAAAATTCTTTTCAGGTAGACTATTGATGGATAGAGTCGGACCTCGTTTAAAGATAAACTCTTTATAAGATGCTCCCAAATGGGTACACCTCTATTTAAGAGACGTTTAATAAATTGAATTAATTACTGGGGGGAGATTCCGCTTGAGGGATACCCTCTATTTAAGAGAGGGTATCACTATGAGGTACACCTCATTATAAAATACTCCCAATATTATACCTCTATGTAAGAGACTTTTTATAAGAGGCTCTATGTAAGAGACCTCATTATAAGATCTTATTTTTATCGCCAGTGGTGTATCTTATAACGAGATCCAACTGTATTAATTAAAAAAATATATCAATTAATTTTCAAAGTCAGTAGATAGACGTTCACTTTGGACAGCCTTCCCAACCAATGCAGATCACGGAGCCGATACAATTCGATTAAAGGATGTAATGGAAACTTGGTTACTTAATAAAGGAATACCCGAAGTTGAAGTAAAAAGAAATTACGAGGATAAATCTATTAAATTGGAACAACAACAAGCTGATAAAAATAGACATTTAATTTATTTGGATGATGATAAGATGGGAAGAATGCGTTTAAATAAGAGATTTAAGAGGTATTTTTGGATAAAAAATCGCAGTTGAACCTACTATAAGATACCCCCTAAGTCCTAAAAATAGTCTCTTATAATAAGGTGTATGTTAAATAGAGGTACACCTTAAGAAATTATCACCTCGTCTCTTAAATAGAGGTGTTTGTTAAATAGAAGGTACAGCTCATTATAAGAGACTTATTACCCAGTGAATAACCCTTTAGGAACAAGTCTCTTAAATAGAGGTGTTTGGGGGTATCTTATAATGAAATTTTTCAAGAATGTGGCAGATGGAAGAAGAGGAAGAAGATGAAATTAAAAAAGATGAAGATATAAATGGAATATTGCATTGGATGCTTGATGGATTAGAAGAGGATAATGTTACATCGACTGCAACATCAATAACAACAAGGGAAAATAAAAGAAGAAAGGAAAACAACAATAAAAACGTTCATTTAACCACCAAAAAACGCCAACTCCGCGCAGAAAGAAAAAAATTAAATAATAAATACAATTTATGGTCAATACCTTTTAGTTATTCTTTTGGTTCTGTTAAGTCTAAAAATGGGCAAATACTTAGACAATTTTGGTTAATTAATGAAACTATTCGTTTTGTGGATATTGGGTTGAATAAAGACCAGTATTTGTTGGCTAATCCACATTGGGTGTATTCTTATAGGGTTAACTATGATATTTTGAATTGGAGAATGATTATAACACAGGTAATATAAAGTTGGGCCTCGTTATAGGATGCACCCTTGGGATGAAAAAATAGTCTATTATAATGAGGTGTGTTTAAATAGAGTCTCTTATGTTGAGAGTTATCGATTACTCAAGATCTATTTAAAGTGAGAGGAGTTTTTCGAAAGGCTCATAATGGTCAGAGGGTTAGAGGGTATCTCTTAAATGGAGTACCCAGTGGCCAAATAAATTCAAAGAAATGTCTCTAAAATAGAGTGAGGAAATATGGCTTATAATGGTCAGAGGGGTAGAGGGTATCTCTTAAATAGAGTGTATCGCTTGGACAGCTCTCCCTACTCAGTAGTGATGTTCGTGACTCTCGGTCTCAGTTTCCGAGTTGGAAATTTCTTGGGTATTTTAGGCTTCTCGGGGTTGATTGCCAGTCTCAGTCTCTCGGCTTTTTTTAACTCCCGAACATCTCCCTACTCAGTGGCCAGATAAATTCAAAGAAATGTCTCTTAAATAGAGGTGCATCCTATAAGGGATGTATCTTATAACGAGATCCTAAGCTTTCTTAACCTAAGCTTTCTTAACCTCTACTTAGCTCAACAAAAATCACCTAGAAATCCCTTCAATGTCCAGAATTCAATTAATAGTCGATTCAGAATATTTTCTTCGAGAATCTCCACATCCCCATTTATTTGTTCAATTATTAAGGTAATTTTAGAAATTTTCCCCAAAAATAAATTTTTCAAGTTATTTATCAAAAGAACACGAATTAGGGGTACTTTTGGTTGGTCTAGATGCTCTACATTCTTTTTTGGAATTATTTTCTGCTAGCGAAGTTTTTGGTTCTTTAATTGTCCATTTATTACCGGTCATTTTACAATTGGATAAACAATTGGTTATTGCTGCTAATGAAGGGACCGACCCGGAAGTGGCTGCCCTTTGGCTTTTGAATCCTCTTAGGTTGGCAAAGCTTTATCAGTTGAGGTGTTCAGCTAATTTGGGGACCTGTGCTGAACATAAACAGGTAATTTTAAAGAATTGTAGGGGCATTATAAAATTGATCAAAAAGTCGAACCTCTCTTTTAGTTACCCCCTAGATCAAAAAATCTTATCTTATAACAGGTGCACCGATAGAGTGCCCGTAACTCTCTCTCTCTAAGCTTTAATTCACTTTAAGACACTCACTATAGGATATCTCTTTGGGCTGAATAAGTCATACCTTATAAAGAGGTGTACTTTAGATTGGAGTATTTGCCAGTGGTCAACAGGAACAAGACTGGTTTGATACGAAGCCGAAACCCAGCCTTTTTTCAACCCGAAATCCGAAACACTCAGAAGAAAATTTTAAAACTTTATCTGAACCCTTAGCAGACTTTTTTCCTCAATCCGTCCCATACCTTTTGGCCAACCAAAATTTAGAAAAAAGTGACTCTTAAACTGTAGGAGGTATATCCCACTTTTGGGCTATCTAGAACAAGTTTTGACTTTATTTTTAAACAGGTCCATAAATGGTTATTATACCCAACAGCTTTAACCTCCGACAATTACCAACAATTAACAGCAATTTGTCATCATTTATCTAAACATTCTGATAATTCCGAATTAAATTTATTATCTAATTTGCTTAAACAACCCCAATCTATAGCTTTACATTCGGTTATAAGACATTTATCTTCTCGTTGTGTTCAAGACGAAAAATTAATTAAACAAGCTGTGCTGGATATTATAAATACTAGAAATGCTATTATTTATTCTAATTCTTTAAAAGTATTTTTTAAATTATACTCATATTATAAGATACCTCTGGGCTGTTGAAATAAATAGTCTCTTATAATGGGATTTATTTTAAATTAGAGGAAAGAACCTTATAATGAGGTGTATATTAAATAGCGGACATCGATCTCCCACCCTTTTGCCAACACAATTTATAAAAGACTGTCTCTTAAATAGAGGTGTATCCAACATTGGCTGTATCTTATACAAACGGACCTCACTATAAGATACCCCCAATACTAGATACACTTCAATTTAAGAAACGCTTTTTAAAATTTGGTTGGCAACGGGGCGGAGGAGTCTAAGCAATATCCTCTGTTTAAAATACACCTCATTATATATACCCTCGTTTTAAGCTCCAGGTCATTATGAGAGACTATTAAGCGATACCCTATTTATAAAAGACTATTCACTATGAGAGAATTCATTATAAATGACTGACTATTCATCATAAGAGACTATTCCTTCAGTCACAAAAATGTATCTTATAATGAGTTTTTTTGTACTTATTTTAAAAAATATTTTTCCAGAACAGTTACACCCTAAATTACAACAAAAAATTTCGAGAAGTTTTTTGGACCCTACTATCCACCCAATTAAACATCCAAGAAAGGCAAATACTTTTTGCTGTAAATACAGGAAAATCTGACCGAATGGCTAGAAATTTGCTTCATTCAGTTCACTCTTTGGGTGAATTAAATTTAATTGAAAGAATATTGTTAAATCAATGGCCAGATAAATTACGATTAGAAATTGTTTGATTTTTTTTAATTTTTAAATTAAAAAATATTTTCTTAAAGGATTATCTTCGAAGAAAATTTTCTTGGATTGAAAGAGAAGGAAATGAATTAATTAGAAAATACCTCATTAGAGAAACACACCAAAGGATTTAATTACAAAAATTAATTATTATGTACACATTTATATATCTACATCCTTTTTTACCCCCCCCCCCCCCTTTTCTTTAAAAGGCTCATTATGGTCAGTAGTGTCGGAAGGTACCGTACTAGCGGCGGTATTTTATATATAGAATAGTAGAGTTGGGCAGGATCGGGATCCCGGTCGGGATCGGGCGGGATTATCCCGGTTTTTTTGAATCCCGATCCCGATTTTTCTGATCCCGAGACCGAAAGACAAATCCCGATCCCGATTTTACGTCGGGATCCCGATCCCGCCCAACTCTATAGAATAGATATATAGAATACGATACGGTCAGACTAAAGCTTACACGGAAAATTTGTCGGTTCAGAATCAAACCGAAGAACTGAGGATTTTTTGATGGTTCTTCGGATAAATTCCGGAATATCATAGAATCTTCCAGTTGACCTTAGTTATCATATCCGGATTTGAAAAAATTCCAGATACCACGAAACTTTACGGATCGTATTTGAAGATATTTGAAGGTTTCCCACGATCAATCTTTTCTATAATTTAAAGGGAACTTCATCAAGTAGGATACTTTTGTCCATAAGTTTGTTCATAAAAATTTTTGGGAAGGGTCACTCATTGATATATTTATTTTTTTTCTTAAATATTTTTATTTACAATTAATATTTTATGAAATAATTTGTTAAAATTTCTAACCTTTTTTTAATATTTTTAAAAACAATTCAAAATATTTTTTAAATCTTTATTAATAAATTAACAAATTTACAAAAATTAATTTTAAAATGCAAGTCTTTTTAAGCTTTTGTAGATTTTACAGGCTTTTTTGTCAAATTTTTATTTTTGTTGGATTTATTTAAAAATTTTTTATTTTCGTCCACCATAACCATAATTTCCCCCTCCTCCTCCAAATGATGGCATACCACCACCACCACCTCCAAAACTACTTCCCCCTCCGCTGCTGCTAGATCCACTACTCCATTGGCTAAAACCTGAAACATAAAAAATTTTATGGATTTTTATTTTAAAATATCAAATGTGTGCCAATCAGCTACAAGCCCACTCCGTCTCAGAAAATAACCTTTATGAAGCTCCTAGTAAGATTTTTTGTTTCAACTCATAGGAGCTGCATCCGAACCATACGGAACGTGTAATGGACTTGCTAATTTTTAACAGATCCACTGGCTAAAGCTTGACCCTTGCGAATGGGTGGGCTCGCTGTTCGCAACAACCCACGACTTCGATCAAAATTTTAAATCCAGAAAAGTTCCTATTATAATTTTCATTTCGCTCGTCGGAGTCTTTTTCTTAACAGGGAAAACCTAGAGATCTGATCGAGACGAGATTTCGAACAAAAAATCTAAGTAAGACAGAGTGTGCTCTCTGTTGATCGGATTCTGTGTCTCTAAAAACCTGATTGTTGAGAATTTTGAAAGCCGCCCCCACCTAATCCACCTCCTCCAAAACCTCCTCCACCTCCATAACCATAACCACACTCAGACAAATTAATGGCAATAATTAAGAAAAGTAAGGGAAGCAAAGTTTTATACATTTTCTTAAAGAAGAATTAGCTTTCTAATTAATTTTTCTCCTAAATTTATTTCAATTTATATATTTTAATTTTTAAGTAAATGAATAAGAAATTCGCCAATTAAAAAATTTATTTTCCTTAATAATTTAGCGAACGTTCCAGTTATGTTACGTAATAGAAGAAAGATTATTAAATATTTGTTAAATTACTGTTTGCTAATAAATAGCCTTTTTTCTCTCCATATTTGTACGAATTCTCCAAAAAAGTTGGTAATTCAAATAATTACTTACGCCTGTCTGTAAAGGTTATTGAAGATTATTGAAGAGAAAATAGGGTAAGTAAGCATTTTCTAGTCAGAGTTTGCGAAATTTCGAGTTTCGAGATTTTTCTTTCGCATTTTTTGCCTTCTTACTAGTGTCGCCGGAACCGCAAATTTGGCCGAAACCGGAACTGACATTTTGACCGGATCCGGAATTTGAACTTCCGGCAAAGCCCTACTTCTTACTTTTCGAGTTTCGAGGATTTTTTTCGAAAACATCTCAGCTTCTATTTAAGGGGCATTCAAACGATTACAAAATAAACGTATAATATCACGAAATTGATCTATACAACACAACTTCATCGAGTTTTAATTTTATAAAAAATTTTGAACTATAGTGTATCCAGATTAAAACAAACAATACCTAATTTTTATCCTTATTTACCATAATTATTGTCTCTAATAGAAGCCCTGGGCATCTACTTTTCAAAGGGTATCGTTGAGTGGGCTTCTAATAGGGCATAGGCTTCTATTGGAGATGGGCTTTATTAGAACCAATATTTAAATTAAATTAAATTAATTTTTATATAACACAATTTTATGTACAATGCAAAAATGTGAAAATAAACAAGTCATTGTTTATGGCTCAAGAATAATTGACCTCACAAAAATTTTCAAATTTTCCAAATAAAAATATTTAAATCATTATATAGACAATTGTAATACATACACGTTTTTTATATATTTTTAGCTGAGTGATAAATTGATTTGATTGATATTGGATTGATTGAATGATTGATTTATATATACATATATACACGTGTATCAGAAATATATATATTTAAAGATACAATTCTTTCCCCTGAAATGTTTAAAAAATTTTAAATAAAATTTGATAAAATCAACATGTAAACATTACTCATCTGGTTTTTAATTTGTTCCATTTTAAAAAAATTTTTAAGTTTGTGTTCCTCCTTTTTTATTTATTATTCCAAAAACTTCCTAGGATAGGAAAAACTTCCTAGAATATGTAGCAGGGACCTAGTCGGCATAAAAATTGAATCACAGACTTAAGGAATAGAGCCGGCTAGATCCCTAATGACGGCTAGACTCTTGCTTTAAGAGGCTCCTAATGGTCAGAATAAAAATTTCACGACTAAATATGTTATTGGCTAAAGCCGAACCGAGTCTTAAAACCAAGGATTTCAGGTCGGCTCTTCGGTTCAATTCAAAATATGCAAAGACTTTTCAAGAACCGGAACCCTATTTTTACAACTACGTATTCTTTAAGGATTTCATTTTATTCAAAAAAATTTAATCCCTTGAAACATGCCAAAAAAATATAGAAGAGGAAATTTTGAAAAAAAGAGGAAGCACTTAAAGTATTAATTTTAAAGTCGTTAGAAAGTTTCCAATCTCGAGTTTAAAAAAAAATTTTTTAGATGAGCAATAAATTCGTTTGAAAATAAAAAATGGGGATTTGGGCTTTTTAAAAAGAAAATATATAAAAAAATTAACAATTCGCTTTTTCTTTTTACAATTATCGGATTAAAGAAAGGCAAAAATAACCTTAAAAATAAACATAAAAATATATAAATTTAAATAAAACAATTAGTTAAAACCCTCTCTTTTTTATGTGTTAGTCAAGGGTGGATTGGAACAATTGGGAGTGTCGGAAACTGGAAAAGTTGAAAGTGGAAGAATCAGGAACCGGAAGGGAAATCAAAGAGCTAAAAACCGGAAAAATCGGAAGTGGAAGAGAATCAGAAGACGGAACCCGAAACTAGTTCAAATGTTGGAACCAGATATCTCTAAAAAATTTGATAGAAAATTTTCGGAAATAGAAATAAACATAGCCCATCAAAAGGCGGTAATCAGAATTCCGACCCAACATTGTTAGACATTAAATAAAATTGACAATTTGGATCGATCAAAGAACTCGAAGATTTTCATTTGGGTTCTTCAATTCGGATCCAGACATTCGTAGATTCTCCAAGAACCGACAACCCTATTAATATTAAGATTGCTCTGAAACAACCCAGAAATAAGATGACGACATAAAGCCAGTGAAAAAGAGAGAGGGTTTTGAATCAAATACATAAAATTAAAAACGAAAATAAATTTTTTTGATTAAAAAAATATTTTTTAAATATATATAAATTTAAATATATATCAGTTATATATATAATCTGCCTTTTTTTATAATTTTTTTAACCCTGCCTGTTTTCTGTACCCCGTTTTTTCTTCTCAAAAATTAAATTATATAAATATTTAATGATTAGTTTCATGGCCAGGAGAGAAACTTGATTGATCCCATTGGATAACTGGCGATAATTGATTGGATAAACTTCCTCCATGTTGAGACATTAATGGGTCTTGACCTTGTAGTGGGCCTCTCTAAATTTAAAAGAAAAATTAAGATCTCATTAAGAAATACCTCTATGCTAGCTAGACCTTTTTTAAAAGACGGTCAGGAATGGGACGGGCTGAGAAATAAGTCGGGTCGGGTTTAGGGTTGTCAAAATTTTCCTCGGATCGGGTGGAAAAAAGTCCGGGCTTCGGGTAAACCGTCCCATTTAAGAGACGGCTAATTAATTTAGTTGGTGATTAGGTGGGAAGAGAACTGCCTAGGCAAAACTCTCTATTTAATCAACACCTTATTATAAGGTACAATTCTTCAAGCCTGCATCTTATAATGAGTACACCCTCTATTTAAGAGACCTCTCTTTAAAATTTGGTTGCCGACTTGAGGGAGGAATTTCCTAACCAACACCCCCTATTTAATAGACATCTTGTTATAAAATACGATTTTGAGTGTACTGATGTGGGGTCTAATTAATTGCAATACTAGAACACTTCTACATATCTAAGAAATGGTTAATTAAAATTTGGTTGATACTCTAAAGGGAAGAGAGTTTCCTAGGCAAAACATTATATTTAATCCTCCTTATAAAGACGATTTTTCAGGCCCCAAAATAAAGTATAATTATAATTGTTTACATGTTGAAAAGCAAATTCTTCCATATTCAACTCCCCATAATTCCCAGAATTAAATATTTGTCCCAACTGTGTTTGTGCATTCCAATTTGACATATTAGAACCTTCAAAAAAATTATTTCTTTAAAAATCTGCATAAAAACACACCAAATTCCATAGGTTGTTGTTGTAATAAATTTAAAGTATTTGGCGTTGTATTATTCGAATTATTGTTGGCTAGAACATGCTGATTTAAATAATTAGCCATTTCTGTTGGAGCACTCCCAATTATAAAAGCTGCTGGGGAATGATGGCCAAATTGCTGTTGAATACTTGACATTTTTAAGAGAGAAGCGTGACTTGATGTTGGACTGGCTATTTGCATTTCTTGAAGACTACAGGCTATTTTTGCCTTTAAAAAGATAAAAATATTTTGAATTAAACACAGAAAACTTCTTTATAATATACTCCATTGAGGAGAAAAAATGCGTCTCTTATAATGGGTGTGTATGTTAAATAGGGACTGCTTAGAGAGCAATAACCCATACCTCTCAATCTAGTGGCCAAACCACTTTTAAAGAACGTCTCTTAAATAGAGGTGCATCTAGTATTGGGGCTAGAGGAGTAGAGGTACAGGGTGGGTAGAGTAGAGGTACAGGGTGGATAGAGGTAGAGTACCTTCAAGTAGAGTACCTTAATATCGGTTATACAGCTCCTCACACCGTGGTCAACCACATTTTCAAAAGCGTATCTTAGAGCAGTATCTATTACTATCTCATGATGAGGGGTCCGAGCATATTTAAAAAAAATTTTCCACCTGTGGAGTACTCGAAGGAGAAAAATTTCCAATTAATTCTTCGGAAGGTTCTTGTTTTATACATTTTCCATGTTGTGTAGAAGATGGAAGGCAAATTGGTGGAGATAAGGCATTTGGGGCTGGTAATTTACATGGAGGTACATTAATACCGTTTTTCTCAAGTTGATTTTCCAAATCTTGAATTCTTTGAAAATATTGTTTAGCAAGTTCTTCCAATCTTGAAGTTTTTTGTTGATGTCTTTATATTTAAAGAATAAATATATACTAATTATTTTTTAAATTAAATGCCGGATCTCGCTAAGAGATAAATAGCATAGGGCTGAAAAATCACCTTATAATTGAGCTGCCTTATATTGAGGTATATAATGTAACATACTAAATAAGAGGGGCTTAGGGGCTTCCCCACCCAGAGACTAACAAAAATTTAAAAACGTCTCTTAAACAGAGGTGCGTTTTATAACAGGTACTCAATTGGAGATAGGACTGGGAGTGATCTAGAAGAATCCTCGATTTCGATAACCTAGATTTCTGATTAAGATCCCGTCTCGGTCCGGTCTCTACTTATACGGAGACTAGAGCAATGTCTTATAATGAGAGATCCGACAGTGTATATTTAAAACAAAACCTAATCATAATTTCTCTATCTTTTTGTAATTGTCTAATATAATCACAAGAAGCTTTAAGAATTGTACCTTTATTTAATTTCATTTCTCTGTAAATTTTTTTTAATTTATTTAAAAAAAATTTTTAAATTAACTCAGCAGTCGATTTTGGAAGCATTAAACCCAATTCTTTAATTCTATCGTTAATATTATATCTTCTTCTTCTTTCAACTTTAAAGGGATTTTATTTTTAAAAAATTCAAAATTAATTTACTCATATTGTGAATATCCTTTTTACGCCTATCTTTGTATATTTCAACTTCTGTCATATTCAAATCACGAGTAACTGCTTGCGATCCTCTTCCATTTACAGCAGCAGGACCACTGTTGCTTGTAGAAACACCAGCAACGCCTCTTCTAATAAAATTCCTAAAAATATGATTTTTAATGAAATTTAAAAGTGAAAAGGTCTAGGTTACTAACTCTAATACTAGTAACACCTAACATGCAACCAAGGGATACCGTATATAAGACAAATTTCGATATTTGACAATACAATATTTTCAAGCTTGAAAAAATCGAAGTTATTTTTCGATCAAGCACGGTCTCTAATAATGTTTGTATTGATATACGAGCTATAAGGGGAAAGGCTCTAATTTTGTATTTTACTCGAAATTTGAAGTCTTAAGTTGACCACCAGAGGTGGGTCGGAACAGTCAGAGGTGTCGGAAATCGCAAAAGCCGGAAATCGAAACTGGCTCAAAAGTCGGAACTCGGAAATCGGAAATTAAATTTTTTTCGGACATCGGAAGGAAAAAACGTCGGAAATCAGAATTCCGACCCACCTCTGCTGACCACAACTCACACCTAGATAGCCTAAAAATCTTTTTACAGACCTAAGAACAATTTCACGTAATTTTGTTTCTTTTTTAACTATTCCTTTTTTTCTTTCCCCTACAGAACTATTATGTTTCCTCTTTAAATCAGATTTATGATTAGTTAAAGCCGAGTTTGTATTGGCATTAGTTGCCGTATTTTCCCCTATTTTAACTATTCCTCCATTCTCCATTTTTTCAAATCCATTTTCATTATTTTTCCCCTTATCTTCTTCTTCCCCAACAACTTCACATTCACTTTCCTCTTCCTCAGACTCATCCTCCTCTTCTTCATCTTCTTCCTCTATAGTTAATTCTCCCCCTTTTTCGACCTTTCCATTTTTATTTTTAACAAATTCCTCCATAGGAAAATTATTTTGTCCATTACTAATGTTTATTTGAGGTATTACATACTCAATTTCACACGAGGTTGGTGCACTCGAAGATATAATTTGACGGAAATCGTTATCATTTTTAGGGCTGTACAAAGCAAAACCACCACCTCCGGCTGTTTGAAAGCCTGGGGAACCGCTTTGAATTGAGGCATTCTTTAAAATTTTAGGAATATTTTTAAATTTAATGAAAGACTAACAGAAGAATCCCGGCTACAAGCTGTAGATAAAGGAATTGGTTGACTTGAATGTTGTTGTTGTTGAATAGATGTTGGGCAGATATAATTATTCTTTAAAAAAATTTGTAGAAAAATTATTAAAGATGTTCAGCAATGGGATTGAGTTTCAAAAGATTGAAAGGAAGGGATCCAGCGGAATTGATCACGTAAATCCTGGAAATCCCGTTTGCCTCAAAACACGTGGCCCCGTAAATCCGTGTACGGCATCTCTCCAAAGCTAATCTCTAACAATTATATACAGTCATACTTCACTATAAGATATGTCTCTTATGAAAAAAATGTATCTAATATAGAGGGTATCGCTTAGTCGGCTCCCTCACCTATTGGTTGTCCAAATTTTAAAAAACGTCTATTAAACAGAGGTAAATCTAGCATTGTGGGTAATTTATAAGGTTATGGACGTAACTTAAAACGAGGTGTACATTAAATAGAGGGTATCACTTAGCCAGCTGCCATACCTCTTGAACTTAACATAAGTGTGTCTATTATCGGGTATATCCTAGAGCGAGGTGTCTTTTTGGTATTAATGTTATAAACCTTTATTATTACCTGTCGATTATTAGCTTGTTGTTCCCCTTCAAGAGAAAGTATTTCATCAATTATGAATTCATCCAACTTTAAAATTTAAGAAATATTTTTTAAAAATAATTTTTAAAAACCTGTTGTTGTTGTTGGCTTTCTGTATTATTTTCTATTCTTTGTTGAGATGAATGTTGTGAATTTTGTTGTTGTTGGTGTTGAAGGAAATTTTGAAGCATTTTAATTTAAGGGGTTATAGTTTCTTTAATTGAGGAAATAGTTGATAGGAAATTGATTGAAGGAAAAATATATATTTTTTAAATATTTATAATTCTACATAATATTAAAAATATTATTTTTAAAAAAATAATTATATTTAGAAATCTAACTTCACTATATGAGATACTCTAACTTCTAGTGATGTTCGGGAGTGAAAAAAGCCGAGAGATCGGGAATCAACCCTGAGACCAGACCAAGAGTCTCGAACATGACTACTGACTTCTAGATACCGGGGAATCTCATCGTCATGATTCCCGAAATAGGCAATTTGTTTAATGTAGCAAGAACAATGCTGAATGCAGCAAACTTCCTGCTTCTATACCCTTCAATTTAAGAGATTTTCTTTTTAATTTGTTAATTAAGAGGTGAATGCTATGCTTGCATAAAATGTTTTGCGTCTTGAGATATAAAATAAAATTTAAAAAGAGAAAAAGATCGCGCGCGACCTTTCCCTCATCCTTTCCTTATTATCTTGCCGCTCAAGACGCCCGCGTTCTTTGTGTAAGCATAAGCGGTTGCCCTCTATGCCCTCTTTTTTCCCTCTATTTTGCCCTATATTTACTCGTTAAAGTTGACGTTTCTTGGGAAATCCCCGGATATCCGGAACCGATAATCGAACCAAAAAGTTTCCTGATATTCGGACGTTCTTTGGTTTTGGATACACGTAACCTTAAACTCTACACTTCACTATAAGTTACGATTTTTCTAGCTCCAAAAGTCTATCATATCAAGGATGGTCTTATAGTGAGTCTTGACTGAAATATCTCTTAAATTCTAAAAATCTCTAAAAATCTCTCTCTTAAATTCTAAAAATAATATTTCTAATTAAATAATTTAATCTTAGAGGTATCTATAAATAAATTTTAAATTTTTAACCAATTCTTATTATTTTTGGATTTAAAATTTAGGGATTAAATATCACTTTTTTTAAAATAAAATTAATTACATTTTTAAAAAAGCTTCCGGATTTCCCAATAATTTTTTTATTTATTGGAAACTTTTTTTAGTCAACTTTTTAATTGTTTCTTTGATTCTTTGATAACTTTGTGATTTTATTTATTTGAAAAAAGGCCAGACGTAATTAAAAAAAACTAAAAAAAGAACCAATAAAAATTAACAAAAATGGTCTTTAGTTTTTGTAGTAGAGTTGACTTGGAACAAGAAAAAAAAAACTGGCTAATTCAAACAAACAAAAAAAAATTATTTGATAGTTGGGAATGGAAATTTCAGCAAAATTAAAATACAGTCGGATTTTTTAAATAACACCCAATATTAAATGCCCCCAATATTAGAGACCCCCAATATAAGATACCCCCACTATAAAATAACCTCTATTTAAGATACGCCTTTCTTAAAATTATTGGGAGAGCTGGGTGGGGGAATATACACAAAAATGAGGTTGGGTGGGAGAGCAGTCTAATCTAAACTATACTCTCTATTTAAGATACACCTCGTTATAGGAGACTAATTTTAAAAGCTCCAAAGAGGTATATGTATAAAAACAAGGCTTTTAATTAGTTGACTAATGAGCTGGGGAAGTTTCCTCAACGATCTCCCTCTGTTTAATCAACACCTCGTTATAAGGTATGATTTTTTAACCTCCAAAAGGGGATATAAAAACGAGTTTAAAAAAGATTGTAGTGAATTTAAAAAATAAAAACAAGGGAAAAATCAAATTTTGGAAAACTTGGCAAAATAGTTATACCTACACAAATAATTCCCAAAATAATTCCCACATATTCTAATATTTCACATAAAATCTTTAAAAAAACTTGGCCAAATCAATTAATTTTAAGAGAAAATTTGAGGAAAAAGAAAAAAAAATAAAAAATATTTTTTTTCAGAAAAAAACAGGGGGAACATAAAAATTATTTTAAGAGGAAAAAATAGAGAGAGGGCTCTCTATAGACAGGGAAAGAGTGTGTCTATTATTGATTGACGACCCCTAAAGCGCTGTTGCTGTGTTTGTTCTCCCCCAAAAAAGAGAGCAGCAATATTGGAAAAAAAACGTCGTCCAAGGGGAAAAATTTTGTGTTTGCCGCTCCCAGCCTACCCTTTCAAATTACTCTAACTAACAACTAAAAAATATTACCAGTCGCCAAACATTCCCTCCCCCCACTCTTTCCTTCCCTTTTGTCTACCAAAAACTGATATTTATCCCCTCTCATATTTTCTATATTTAATGTGTTTTGTGTGTTTTTTTATATTTCTTTTAGAAAAAAAAAGAATTTCCCGACAAATTGGCAGAAGGCCAAAAAAATTTTTATAAACGTCGATAAAACCGACTACATAATATGGAGTCTGTTGGGTAATGACAGCCAGAGTGAAAAAGAAGGGAAAAATAAAAATGGCGTAGTCGACGTTGACAGAAGAGAGAAATAGCAAGAGAGAGACTAAAGGCTGTCAATAAAAACAAAAAAAGAAAAGAAAAAGAGAAAACAGCAAAAAAATTTTTTTAATTGATCAAACGGCCGTTACTGGTTGGCAGGAGAGAGGGAGGGGCAAAACACCGTCCGACAATTCACCGTCCGACAACTCGCCGTCCGACAACTCACCGTCTGACAACTCACCGTCTGGAGATTAGGGTAAAAAATACCGTCTACATTTACAGAAAATAAATTCGATTCACGTTAATTTTGTGTTATCTTGGTATCTTTAGAACCTTTAGGCTATTAGGCCTTGGTTGGTACCTCTTCACCTAAAAATTTTATTTCAGATTTGTTGCAAACAGTGTTTTGTCTGACGGTGTTTTGTCCTTCACCCATGGAAGAATAGTTGGTAGAGCAGTCCACCACTAGCAGTGTTCGTTTCCCCATAAAAGCTCAAAGAGCAGGCTGGTGTTTAAATAAATAGTTAGTTTAGTGTTGTTTTAGGACCAATTTTTTTATTTTTTGTTAAGAAAAATGAGATGGATTAGAAAGAAAAAGGGAAAAGTTTTGGCCAAAGATGAAGGACATTTTATTACTTTTATCGTAATATTTTTGGAAATGTTTGAAAAAGAGAAGGGAAGAAAATGGTCGAGTTTCTGATAAATTGTTTTTGGGCGATAATGTCAACCAAAAACTATGAGAGAAGGGGGGGGGGAGAGGGTTTAAAATATTGCTTGTGTTTGATAAATGTTTTAGTGATAGTAAAAATAGTAAAAATATTGGGGAGGTTATTTTTGGTATTTTAACAAAAAAAATTTTATTAAAGGAAAAAGAGTAAGGGAGAAAATTGAGAAATGATGGCCTTGATAAGAGAAAATTGAGAAAAATTTAAAAAAAAGGAAAGGAGAGAAAGTAGGGAGCGGTCCATATTTTGCCAATACACATTTTGCCAATAAGGCTAAAATTTCTCGTTTTGTCAACAAACTTTTGGCAAAATGTGGAGTTTTACCCTTATTGGCTAAATGTGCTATTGGCAAAATGTCAGAGGGAACGGTGGTAAAATTATTTTTTATATCTCCCTTTCAATAATTCTTCCTCATCCTTTACTTTCTAAAATTAAAAAAATCTGGCTCAATAATAGACGGAATAAAAAAAATATTTTTTTAAAGGGATTTACTAGTTTAAACGAAATCTTTATTTAAAAATAAGTGAGGAAATGCGCGGAGGAAAAAATATTTTTTTAATTCCTCTTTTTTAAAGTGTATTAGTGTGTGTTTAGACAAACATGTGTGGGGGACACCCTTCTAAGGGTATTCTTTTTAGTCAATATTTTTTTTGAAAAATATTTTTTTGAAATAAATCTTAAATTTTGTTAAAAAATGTTTAAAATTAAATTTTTTTAATTATTGGAGAAATTTGATTTTAAAGGAGAAAAAAAACTTTTAGGCGAGTTGAGAGAGTTTGAGAGAATTGAGATTTTTTTGAGATACTCTCGATTCTCGGGCGACACTCCCAATCCAGTCTCTAAAAAATACCTTTGAATTTACAGGCAATATATACCTCTTAATTTGCTTCTCATCAGTGCCCATAGTATAAGAACTCTGTCAGAGGGCCATGGGCTATTTGACCATGACTGCTTGGACCATGGTTAAAACGAACATCGTTATGTGACTCAAGGTTATTGTAGGTCAGTAGAAGAACCACGTGGCCTTACCAGCTTCAAAAGGTCAACTAACCACGAATTACCTTCTTATACTAACTACCGTTGCAAGGCGTGCCACCTATTTAAATGCTTACATATTTTTGTAGAAATAAAAAAAATTTTTTCTAGTTATGGTAATTCATAAAGAAGGGAAGGAAAGGAATTAAAAAAAGCCTCTTTCTCGACAAAATATTTTAATTTGACTTTTTCTGTCATATAAAATAGTTAAAAATGCGCAGCGTGTCCAAGTGGTATCACGACTTTTGCGCCGGGAACATTTGCGCCGCGACTTTTGCGCCGCGACTTTTGCGCCGGGCGACTTTTGCGCCGCGACTTTTGCGCCGCGACTTATGCGCCGGGCGACTTTTGCGCCGCGACATTTGCGCCGCCATAATTTTAAAAAATAATATCTACAGTCGGACCTAATTATAGTGTACTTCTTAAAAAATGGTCCAGGAGCTGAAGGAATTTCAGGAAGCACAATAGTTTCGGTAAGTACAATAGCCCCCTCCAATAAACTGACCCCCTAGAGGGGTCATCTTCAAAGAAATTGACTTTTTCAAATCAGGATATTTGGTCTGCTACCCCTATTCAGGCATGATTTTCTGCCAGAAGAGGGTGCACTATAGTATAGGGTTGTCGGGTCCTGATATCTGGATCTGAAAAAGGCCGGATAGCTGAAAATTTTAGGTCGGATATCGGATCCGGATCTTGATATCTGAAGATCTCCAACTATTCTATATCTTCTGTAGTAAAATCCGGCTGTAGTTTTTCATAATTATTAACGATAGTGGCGGCGCAAAAGTCGTCCGGCGCAAAAGTCGCGGCGCAAAAGTCCCCCGGCGCAAAAGTCGCTCGGCGCATAAGTCGCGGCGCAAAAGTCGCGGCGCATAAGTCGCGGCGCAAATGTTCTCGGCGCAAAAGTCACGGAACCGTCCAAGTACATATAAGAGTTATAGTAAACAACTACATAAAAAAGGGAAAGAAAAATTCCTTTCATGGAACGTCAGCCTAGTCAAACCACGTGGAGGCTGGTCCCTGGCAGACGACCAAAGATGGACGTGTAGAGTTTTATTTAAAAAAAGGGGGGAGAAAATAAAGAGGGGCCAATAGCTGGGCTGGGAAGGACCTCGTGGCGGGGAAGGCCTTCGCCAACTGTTTGCTTTTTTTATTTTTTTTATCGTTATAGAGTTCAACACAACGATGATTTTGTTTTAAACACGAGTTTTATCTATTGAGAGAAAAAAATTTTTGCTGATAAATATATTTGGAGGAGGGGCATTACGCCGTCCAGACAAAATATTGTCTGGATATTGGAGTAAAATACCGTCCACTTTTACAGGCTATAAATTCGATTTATGTCTATATTACCGTATTACCTCTATCTGAATGCCCCCTGTAGGATGATTGAAAAATAGAATGCCCTCTCCAATTGAATCCCCCCTCTAATAGAATGCCCCTTTGGAAATTGATTAAAAAATAGAATGCTCGGCATTCGTTTACAGATAATACGATAAATTTTTTTTAAACCCTGAGGCTATTAGGTCTTGGTTAGTACTCTTCTTTGCCTAAAAATTTCATTTTAAAATTTGTTTTCTCCAAGCGAAATTAATGGTGTTTTTACTCTAATTGTGAATGGTGTGTTCGGACGGTGTTTTGTCCTTACATATTTGGGTGTATTACATATTAGTAAGAGAATAATCGAGAAAAGATTATTTAAATAAATAAAAATAATTTAAGAGAAAAATTTATTTTTAAATAATTTATTCAAAATTTAATAGAAAATTTCAGTAGTAAAGTGCATTCTCTCGACCTTTGCTCGTTTATATTTTTGGAGGAAAAAAAATTAAAATTCAAGTAAAGCTAAAAATAAAAAATCTGAATAGATTTTTGGTTAGAAAAATGGAAAATTGATTTGTTTGTTTAAACTAATATAAAAAAAATTTTTTTGGATAAAATTAAAAAGCAAAAATGGCAAATGTTGTGTGTTTTGTATTTTAATTTGGATGCTTTGGATTAATTTGGATTTTTTAAATTTGGATTAATTTGGATTAATTTGGATGATTTAAATAAAAAATTTAAAAAAAACTAGAAATTAAAAATTTAATATTTTTAAAATATCAAAGAAAACACTGTTTCAAAAATTTTTTTAATTTTTAGGATTCTTGACAAAGTCGTCTATTATCAATTAATTTTTAATTCATTCTGTGATTTGAATATTATCTTTTCATCGGAAACCTGTTGTAAATGTCAGGAACACAAATAAAAAATTTTTAAATTAATTTAAAAATAATTGAATTATAATGGAATAATATTTTTTAGTTAAAAAATTGTTTTTCAATCAGATTTTTCACCAATCCCCAATATCAAAATTTTGTGGAAAATAATAGCTAGAACCAACACCTCTTTTCTTCATTTTCCAATCCCACTCAATTAAATCATAATTGGCGCTAGCTGATGGAATATTTATTTTTAATCTTCGAAACTAAAAATAAAAATATTTTTTTAATTTTTATTTTAAAAATACCTCAAATATATTATTTTCAAGTTGTGTTATATCAATTGGATTTGTGAAAATTACTTGGTACTTAAATTAATAATTAAAGTTTTTTAGTCAAACTAAGTTTATATAATTTTCAAACTTTTTAAAAACAAGTTTTTGGAAAAAGTTTTAAACTTGTTTTTCTGAACTTGTTTCTTACAACTTGTTTGTCAACCTTGTTTTCTTGTTTTCTTATAAACTTGTTTCTTTCTTATAACTTGTTTCTCAAACTTGTTTTTCTAAAAACATGTTTGTTAAAAACAAGCTTTAAACTTGTTCTAAAACAAGTTTATAAGAAAAAAAGTTTATAATTGTTTAAAACTTTGTTTTTAGAATTGTCTAAACTTTGGCTTAAAAACAAAACGTTATAAACTTGCTTTATTATAAACTTGTTTTAAAAACAGGTTTAAATATTTTGAAAAATGTCTCCAAAACAAGTTTTTACGAACAAGTTTTAGTAACAAAGTTTTATTTTAATTAATAATTAAATTACATATTTTAATTTCTCCACCGTTTCACTTGTTTTAAGCAATTTACTACAATTATGTTCTACCCTGATTCTTATTTTATGGCTATATCTATTAATAAAAATTTTCTTAAAAAATTCTTAAAATATTAATTAATTAATTACTTCAATGGCTTTAACTTTGCTTCATTTTCTGTTTGATTACGTGAAGGACAACTTCTTAAATTGAAATAATTCTTTTTAATTTTCACAAATTTTAATTTTTAAATAACCGTTCGTGTAAAATACCGCCAATAACGAATGACCCTTCCGACTTGTTAAAATTTATTTGACTAAAAAATTATTTTTTTAATTATTTATTTTGTCATCACCTTATAATTTCATCTTCGTCTGTACACGTTCCTACAATTGCTCCCTTTAATTATTATAATTCTATGTATTAAGTTATTTATTAAAAAACATACTCCTGGGTGGCGCTGAATTAATTTTATATTTATTTCTACATTTTCATCTGAAGAATCACATTTAAAACAGCCATCAATTAGAACAAGAACTTTATCTGTTTTTGTTTAATTTTCAAGTTTATTTTACATGAGTTTTAAATAAACTTGGTTTGAGTTGTAAAATTTTAGATTTTTAAATAATTTATTAAAGTTTATTTTACTTTGTAATTTAAATTAAATAAAATTGTTTAAGATTAAACTTGAAAAGTTTATTTAATAGCAAACAAGTTTATTTAAAATAAAACTTTCTCTTAAACAAGTTTATTTAACTACAAAGTTAAATAAACTTGTAAACTTGATAAGTTGTGAAAATTACAAGCTTAATCCTAAATAAGTTTATTTTTTATTTAAGCTTAATCTTTAAAAAATTTATAAGTGTACAAGTTTATTTGACTTTCCACTTAAAAACTTGTTTAAGATCAAGCTGGAATCTTCATTTAATCATCAAGGTTTCAAGTTTATTTACATTTTACAATTAATTATCATATTAAATTTGCAATTACAATTTTAGATTATTGTAAACTTTATTCAAAAATTACAATTTTAAATTAAAACCTTGCATATAATTCATTTGTTTTTCAATTATTGTTTTGGGATTATTTCTCTCCATAAAAGGAAAAGCACCCTTAACACCAAAACGCCCAAAGAAGTTAACTTTGGCGCAATAAGCTATTTGACTTTAAAAATTAATTTTTTTAGCAAAATAAGATTTATTTACTCATAATGTTCTGTTCCACAATTATTTGAATGGGCTAATTCATCAAAATCGGATAAACAATTAAAAAATTCCTCTTTTTCGTGTTTATCATTTACAATAATCTTTAAAAATAAATTAGATTTAAATAAATAATTTTTTAAAACATTTCCATTTGCAATTTCTCCATCTAACAAACACTGACCAAATTCGTTAAATTCTATATTCAAATTACCATGAATTTTCTGAATTTTTTAGAAATTAATTTTTATTTTTAATTAATTTTAATAATTTTAAGAATTTTTAAAATTTAATTAAAATCATAAAAATTAATTTTAACCTCTCCATTGTTGTCTAAACAATTTACAATGTTTATGCTTAAAATTATACTAATTTTTAATTTAATAAACTTATTTTGAGTTGTAAATAAACTTGGCAAGTTTATTAAATGTAAAACTTGATTTAAAAAAGTTTATTTATCTCAAAGTAAAATAAACTTTGTAAAGTTTCATTTAGATAAACTTTCCAAGCTTAATCTTAAATAAGTTTATTTAAGTGCATCAACTAGGCTAGATGTACAAACTCAATAATTAAAGAATGTTTAAGTTTGTTTTAACAAAGTTTATTTAACTTTGCAATTAAAAAAATTTTATTTAACCTTGTAGTAGTTAAATAAACTTGTTTTAAAATTAAGTTTGCAAGTTTACTTAATTATCGGTTAATTTTTAACTTATTGTTAATATTAAATTTTACATTAATGCAATTTGTAATATAAAAATTAGTAAATTAATTAAATACATTTTAAATTATTTTTTAAATTTTAGAAATATAAAACTAATAATTTTAAAATAATTTTCACTATTTAAAATTTTCATTTTTTCATTATAAATTAATCATCAAATATTTTTACTATTTTCATACATTTTTAATATTATGTTTAGCTAAAGGTGACTCGACATTAATGTATTAAAATAAAATCTGATTTAATTTGAATTACACGTTCCATATAGGGTTGTCGGATAATGGGACCTGGATACCCATGGATCTGGATTCTTTTATGGGATCTGGATTCTTTTTCAAATCTGGATATCCGGATCGGCCAACCTTATACATAATTGAGGAAATATACCTATACCCTATTTTCTCAATTTACTTTCATATACTAATTTCTATTCAGCTGTAGTTTGAAAAATAATTACCTATAGCAATTAATTGAGAAAAGACGGTAATTGAATTGTACCTTCATTTTCTTTTTATTTCTACAATATTCTTTTTTAATTTATCCAAAAATTGATCAAAAATTTGTCATTGAATATTTTTTTATATATTTTTTATTCCAGTTTTTATTTTTTCGCGCGAATCGCATTCATTGCCTTTCAATATTAATAAACTTGAAGTAGTAATCAATCACAAAAAATTTTTAGATAAATTAACAAATTAACTCTTCTTCTTTAATATTTTGCCTAAAATTGGTGGTCTGTCCCGAATTCTCGCAATTTTTCCCAAAATTCCGAAAACTTTTTTCCTTTAATTTTCTTTTTTAAACCAAAATTATTTTTAAATTCCTCTCTCTCAAGTTCTATCTCTCTCAAATTCTCCCTCTCTAAAATTCTTTTTAACCGATCACTTGCCTGGTTCAGGACAAACATTAATCAACCCCTCTAAAATTAAAACTAGACATGATGCTTATTTTATATAAAAATATTTTCTCTCTAAAAATGACAGGTTCAAATGGCCTAGAAAAATAGGAAAATTAATGGGTTGATTAGAAGGGAATTAAAAATAGTTAGAGAATGCAGAAATGAAGGCCAAGCAAAAAATTTTTACATCATGCATAGAAATTGGAAATAAAAAAATTTTTGAAGTAGGAACTAATACCCGTCTCTATCCTATTTATTCGCAAACATTTAATTTGCAATTTTTGTTTATAATAATTTCCCAGAGTAATTAATACTCGTAGGGCAATTAACCTTGATATAGTAACCCTTCGATGTAAAGAACCTCTCAAAATAATGAACATATACACCTGACATTGGCTAAGATTTCCTCCATAAAATTTTCTTTGACTCGAGATTCGACTGTATAATTGTAAGGGGTTAAAGGGTTAAGGGTTAAACGATCTAAAAGGATAAAAGAGAAAGCATTAGTTGATGCCCCGGTAGAACAGTGGTAGTGCTAATGTAAGTGGTGAGCAAAAGCGCCTAGTAACTACGACAGGTCGCAAGTTCGAATCCTGCCCGGTGGCTAAACTTGCCTAAACTCTTTCTTAATCTAATTATTTATCACTTTTAAAAAGTTTTTTTTGTTAATTTTTCAAAAGGATAATTTATCTTGACTATTAAATAAAAAACTAAAGTTGATTTTTCGGAGTGTTTTTAAAATTTTTCCCTTAACACACCAAACTCTAAAAAATATAAAAAACATAACTAACAAATTATTTTTTTCATAAAAGCACTTAAATATTAAAAACATAAACAAACAATGCCGTCAAAGAATTCAGCCTTATAAACTCATAAATTCAAAAAAAAATATTTGCCAACAATTTTCTATATTGAAAAAAAGCACTTTTTTTAGTGTTCGCACAAGCGTTGTGTTCCCTTGGGTGGCGGCAATGCCGTAAAACATGTCCTAAACTATAAGGAATGCTTTGCTCTTAAAATTTTTTTTTATTGACCAACATATTTATGCTTTTCACTTGCTTGGATTTTTTCTCTCGGATTTTTTTCAATGTTTTTTCTGAATACACTCCATTCCACCGCAGCACTGTTTACCGCAGGGCTTATAACTAGCCTTAGAAATATCGGCTCTATACATCAGAGGTCGATCTGAAATGACAAAGGTGCCGGAAATCGGAAACTGTCGGAAATCGGAAATGGCTCAGAAGTCGGAACTTGGAAATCGGAAATTTTTCCAAAATTTCTGAAATCGCAAAGAAAAAAACGTCGGAAATCGGAAGTCGGAAATCAGAATTCCTATCAACCACTGCTAGACATGTTTGGTATCTTTCTACGCCTCTCCTCGAGCCCGTCGGAAGGTACCCAAATCGACTCTTTCTGGCATTCCTACAAGTAGACCGGTCCTAGACAGGTCTTCACGTCGAATTGTGCTTGCGGTCAACTGACCCCCCTGTTCTTTCCGTTATTTTTTCCCTCCTCTTGGCCATGCTGTGCTTTTCACACTTTTCTAGTTTACATTAAAGCTTTTTTCCAGTATTTCTCTTTTTTATTGTTACTTTTCTTCCTTATTTGTTAGCCTTTTATTAACACAAAATCGCTACTCTTTTTTTCTATTTATATTTTTTCAAGCATTTTAAACGGCAAAAAAATAATAAAAGAAAAAATTTCTGTTAAATTAAAGCCTTTTTAAATTTAATTATAAAATAATAAAAATAACTGGAAATTCTATTAAATTTAAATAGGCCTGGATAGTTAAATAAAAAGAATAGGCAATTTTTATTATTCTTTTCAAAAAAATCTTTTTTTAGATTGCTTGAGAATTCTGGGAATTTTTAGGAATTTTTAGGGTTTTAAATAGTTATTGTTATATATTTTTTATTTAAAAGGCTCATTCACACACACAAGGATAAAGAAATCCAGAGTAGAATTCACAAGAATTTTTTATTTTCGATTTTAGGACATAAAGACTAGAGTTTCACCGGAAGTTCCGGTTCCGGTCAAAATTTCGGTTCCGGTGAAACACTAATAAAGACACACTAACTAAAGACTGTCTGGAAATTATGATTCTCGGGAAGTTGGGACTTCAAAAGCCCAAATACACTCGGCAGCTCGACTTGAAAAAAGATAACTTTTAAGAAAAAGATAGCTTTTTTTATTTCGATATTTTACCGACACTTCTGGCCGGTCTATAATACACACTAGAGATCGAGATTTTTGAAAAAATACCAACGCCTGTTCCTTGGTTCTTGGTTTGATTTATTGACCTTGGCTTGGTCTTGGGCCTGTAATCCAGGGAAAACCCAGGCCCAGGAAAAACCCAGCAAAGTCAGAAAATGCCTGGGCCTGGACTCTGGGTACAGGAAGAACCTAGGCCTTGATCCAGACCCAGTTTGATCTCTAGTACACACATAAGAGAATGCCTACACGCTTGAATCCAAGAGAATTTCCATCCATGGTTTTCGAAGATTGGGAAATTCAGCAAGTCAGAAAGGTCCTCAATACAGCTCACATTTCTTCTAATAGATCAAACATCTTTTTCTCACTTTAATTACCAAAGTTGCATTTTTATAATCAATTTGTTCCTCTCCTCTCCTTTCTTCTCAATTTACTCTAAATTAATTTTCTAAAATATTTTCTATACTTTTAAAACTTTTCTTTAAAATTTTTCACAAAATCAATTAGTCTTCTTTCTTCCAAATTAACCCGTTAACTCTTCTTTCTCTTCTCCATTCCCTTCAAAAAAAGTTAGTCGCCAAAGTCATCGCCGATTGCGGCCTTTGTTTTTACTTTTCACTATCAATTATCAACAAATGACAGCCCCAAACAAAAATTATTTGGCTTTTTAATAGATGCCCCATCAAATTCTTGATTTATAAATTATTTAACATAGGAGTTAGGGGGAAATTACTCAACTGGATCTCATCATTTCTAACAGATCGTACAGCAAAAGTAAAAATTAACACAACATTTTCTACATCTTTTAAAATATATTCTGGTGTTCCCCAAGGATCTATCTTAGGACCCATTTTATTCTTAATATATATAAATGATTTAACCTTCTATATTCCAAAAAATGTTAGTAAATGTTTATTTGCTGACGATCTTAAGATTTTTCAAGTATTTAAAAATTCAGAAAATACTAATTCTCTACAAAATGCTTTAAATATAATTTCTCAATGGAGTTCCGATTGGGCACTTGAAATATCTACGCAAAAAACATTTGTTCTAAATATTGGCTCGAAAAATCCTAAATATACATATACACTCAATGGTGACATTTTACAAATAACATCTGTAATAAAAGACCTTGGAATTACCATTACCAACGACCTTTCTTTCGATTTACACTATAATATTATCATCAGGAAAGCCTATGCCAGAGCTTCTTCAGTTCTTAATAGCATACACACTAGCAATCCTAAGGTATGGGCTCTTGCCTTTAAATCGTACGTTAGGCCATTACTGGAATATGCCACAGTTATTTGGAGTCCAAAAACTAAGTATCTTGTGGAAAAAATCGAAAAAATCCAAAAATGGTATACTAGGATCGCTTTATCTAAGTGTAAGATCACCTATAAAAATTACTCTCAAAGATTAATTCTCTTCAATCTCGAATCATTAGCATTAAGACGCTCATTATATGATCTATCAACTATTTATAGGATTATCTTTAAATTTACACATTTAAGTTTTAACGATCTATTTGAGCTCAACGATAGACCTAGTCGAAATAGACATAAGTTTCAAATTAAGGTCCACCGAAAAAACAGTAAAACCGAACATTGGCTCATTAACAGAGCTGTAAACCTTTGGAATACAATACCTGATTCAATTATAAACTCACCAAACCCAAAGATTTTTTGGATTGCGCTCAGGTCATATTTAATAAATTTGGAGAGCTCAAACACTTGTTTTGTATACTACTAGCTAAAAATCCATAAAACCTTACTAATTTTGACTGTTTGTGTTGGCATACCATAACTGTTCATTTGACGTTTATAGTTTGACATTTTTCTTTTAAAAATATATATTTTGTATTTTACATTTTGACCTTTTCATAATTTAGTAATTTATCCATTTGTTTTTCCCTCCCTCATTATTTTCATTCACTGCGTTAATGTATAAGTTTTTTCTACTTTTTAAGCATTTTTAAAACACATTGAGAAACAATTGGATTTATTTTTTTTTTAATATATATAACTCAAATTTTTAGATTTGCAATTTAAAGCACCTGTGCATTTCAATTTTTCTTAAAAATGTCTTCAACAAACAAGCGTCCACATTCTCCCAGTTTAAACAACTTGGGTAATCAACTCATAAACTTCCATACAGTCTGTGGACACTCTTTGTTTTATACATTATTTATACATTATTGTGACTTGTATTTTTTAATTTTTGTCTTATTTTTACCATTTTTATATGCTTTGTTTTGTAATTGTTTCACAATTTTTATCTGAATGTAAGTGACCTTCTTGTAAGGTCCTTTTCAGTGAATAAATAAATTAAATTAAATTAAATTAAAAAATTTCGGTTCCGGTGAAACACTAATAAAGACACACTAACTAAAGACTGTCTGGAAATTATGATTCTCGGGAAGTTGGGACTTCAAAAGCCCAAATACACTCGGCAGCTCGACTTGAAAAAAGATAACTTTTAAGAAAAAGATAGCTTTTTTTATTTCGATATTTTACCGACACTTCTGGCCGGTCTATAATACACACTAGAGATCGAGATTTTTGAAAAAATACCAACGCCTGTTCCTTGGTTCTTGGTTTGATTTATTGACCTTGGCTTGGTCTTGGGCCTGTAATCCAGGGAAAACCCAGGCCCAGGAAAAACCCAGCAAAGTCAGAAAATGCCTGGGCCTGGACTCTGGGTACAGGAAGAACCTAGGCCTTGATCCAGACCCAGTTTGATCTCTAGTACACACATAAGAGAATGCCTACACGCTTGAATCCAAGAGAATTTCCATCCATGGTTTTCGAAGATTGGGAAATTCAGCAAGTCAGAAAGGTCCTCAATACAGCTCACATTTCTTCTAATAGATCAAACATCTTTTTCTCACTTTAATTACCAAAGTTGCATTTTTATAATCAATTTGTTCCTCTCCTCTCCTTTCTTCTCAATTTACTCTAAATTAATTTTCTAAAATATTTTCTATACTTTTAAAACTTTTCTTTAAAATTTTTCACAAAATCAATTAGTCTTCTTTCTTCCAAATTAACCCGTTAACTCTTCTTTCTCTTCTCCATTCCCTTCAAAAAAAGTTAGTCGCCAAAGTCATCGCCGATTGCGGCCTTTGTTTTTACTTTTCACTATCAATTATCAACAAATGACAGCCCCAAACAAAAATTATTTGGCTTTTTAATAGATGCAATAAAGAAATTTAATGACAAATAGAGAAAAACCGATAAATGAGAAAGGAATGCGACAAAGCAATGTTTTGTTGGAAGTACTTTTTTCCTTTCTATTCTCGTTGGGTGGGGTTGTTTGGGCGCCGGGGCGTGAGGGCGCGCGCCTATAAAACTGGCATTTAGCCAAAGCTAAAATTTTTGAAAATTTTCTCAAAT